AATATTTCACATTGTGCCTGCGTTATTAATACAAAGGGTAAAAGGAAACTCTTCGTTGGCCTGTTTCCACATGCTTGGATCAAGATAAAACCAGAGCTTATCAGTAGTAACTAGGGAAGCAAAGACTACGATCATCAATACAACCAAAGACCTGGTAATTGCAGCTTTAGTGTCCTGGCTCTAATCTGCCTTTTGAACTGTAGCTGAAATCTTAAAGTTTTCCTTTGAAATAAGGTCTAACCACAGCTTTAGATAAGAATCACAGTAAAACGCTGCAAATTTGATCAAACGCATCCAGGTGTTGTGGCTCAGCCCCTTGTGGTTATTGAAAAAAGTTCCACCCTAAGGGATCTGAACCCGTCAATCTATCTGCAACACAGGCACTGTTCTGGGAGTGTAAATATTACACTAGCCATAATTTCAGACCTAGGCAGTGTCTGTAGACATGCTATGGGGCGGCTCCAACACACTGGAATGACAGTGTGTCAGAGCAGACTCGATGAATTGAGTGGTAATTACCATGCTCCAGCCAACCTCCGTATCTCATGTATTAGTGTCCCCGCACTCAAACTGGCAGCAGGAATGCTTTAACTATCACTCATCGAACGAGCTTTAGCTCAAGTACCCCTGCTGCCATTTTGAAGCATGGGGATGTTAATACACAAGGTGCTGCAGCGCTTTAATTAGAGTGGCTCCTGGAGCCATTAAAGCACCCCCATCCCCGGAAGATGTGTGAAAGTGCCAAGAGAGACTATCTCTGAGGCTGAGAAATGATTATTTATTCCCAGTCAGTCATTGTGACACTGTTGTGTACATTGGTTAAGCAATGTGGATACCTGACCTCTTAGCGGTTGATTGAGGCTTAATTATCCTTTTAGATTTCTCCTCAGTAGCAATTGAAAAGTAAAGCTGCTGTCACTGTTGGGTTCAATAGCATTTGAATTAACAATGAAAGGCCCCCTCTTGCATTAGAAACATCTGCAGCTATGCATTCCCCCTTATTTTAATGGAGCTATTACTATGGTGTTGGAGGGCATAAGAGTTTCAGAGACATTATGCGGCAATGGAGAAAGGAGAATCAGAGAGCAGAAAGATGGAAAGCAAGCAGAAAAAATGTTTCCAACTACCTGAAGGGGGTTTGAAAGAGGATGGAGCTGGACTGTTCCCAGTGGTGGCAGATGACAGAACAAGGAGCAATGGGCTCAAGGTGCAGCAAGAGAAGTTCTGGTTAGCTATTAGGACAAACTTGCTTATTAGGAGGGGAGTAAAACACTGGAGCAGGTTACCCAGAGAGGTGTGGAAGCTCCACCCTTGGAGGTTTTTAAGATCTGGCTAGACATAGGGATGATCTAGTTGGGGATGGTCCTGTTTTAAGACTAGATGTGACCTCCTGAAGTCCCTTCTAACTCTAATTGTCTATGATTCTATGATACTACAGCAGTCAGGAGTAGTCAGGTCGGTGATCCAGTCAGTGATATGATGGGATATGATTACTGTCTGTATACACTTCAGGGAGATAAACACCAGGGAGGAAAAGAGCTATAAATTCAGTGTTGGCATATGGGTATAAAACACCCAAGCATAAATTTAGGCTCGAGATTAGAAGCTTTCTACCCATTACAACAGTAAATTCTGGAACGGGCTTCCAATCAGAGTAGTGAGGTGGGAAACATCTAAGTCTGTTCCAGATGATCACTTTATGAAGAGGCTGCCTGTGATAGCAGGATAAATTAAAATGAATTCCCAGTAAATCAGAAAAGCAGGCTATAGTGGCATGAACTGGAATTTTCAGAATAATTGGTGCCCAGCCTTATACAGCTGCAGAACCTTCTTATTTTACTAGCCTTTGTGAAGTCTAAGCCAGCTTGGGTTTTTTTGGTAATCCTTGCTTTAGCCATGCACTTCTTCATCTCTGAGACACAGGCTGCTCCCAGGGAATTTTGTTGTTGTTGCATTCTCAGAGGTCAAAGCCACACTTCAGGCTAACACCATACAACACGGGCAGTGGCAAAATGAAACTTTCCTAAATTTCCCTGCTGCCATGCCTTCAGCACTCCTTCTGGGGAAGGTCCCTGTAGTGATCAGGGGCCATAAATACTAAATAGCTTTGATGCTACGTCATAATGAGTCATAACTTGAGATGCATCCCTACCTTCTCCCGGAAGGCATTCTCCCATGATCTTCTCTGTTTGCATTCTTTCAACAGCAATAAAAGCCACGTGAACTATGGAAGCCAATATCTCCTTTCTTCCGCTATTGCACAAGGTATGGACAATGATGCTTGTAAATCAGCAGTGGATTAACCAAGATAATATCTAAACCACAAAAAAGGTTGTTTTCAAGCAAAATTGGCCAACTTACTGTCTTTGCGCTTGTCTGTTGTTCTGTCTGAGGTATGAGGAAAACTAAAGGAAAAAACAGATACCATTTTCCCGAGAAAGACTGGTTTTCAAATGACTTATGCAACAACGGTAACATAAAACTGGAGCATAGCTGACTTACTGGAAGCATTCAAAATGATGCCATTTTACTTTTTGACCTCACTGGCAGAGCTGGTATGCTAGAAAGACTAACCCTAGGGTAAAACAGGTAATACAACCTAAATGTGAGTCTCTCCTGTATGACAAATATTACAGAAGGGAGGGGTGAAGCTTTCTATTGAGGAGAGCACAAAAGAAGGCTAGCCCCAGTTTCTTTCTTGCTCAGGCATGCTGCCCAGTGCACGTGCACCTTACATTGTGAAACTCGAGATACTCTGCTTGTTTCTGCCTTGAAAGTCCTGTGCCTTGCTGTTACCCAAGAGATGCAGTTTCAGTGGCTGGTCAGGAAAGGTGGAGTTACTCAAATATTTACTCTTCATACGATGACATGAAAATCAGCTTTGCAACAGCAACAGGTGTGCTGCCTGTGCTAATATATTTGGCTTGCATGGAGTCGGAGGAGTCTAGGGGGCCTCAGCATACAGCACTGAAGATGCAGGACAAAGATAGTTGTTGCATTTTTAGCATCCCAGGTAGGCGAATACATTCCCATTTCTTTCTGTTCTTTTAGTTACCAGGGACGCAAATGTGTACATGCTGAACAACTCCATTGACTTATGGGAGACTTTATGGTGGTGACATCAATGCAAAAAAAATTGGGAATGAATTTAGTGCTTTTGTAATTCAGTACCTCATAGCATCAAATTAAGTCAAGTCTGTTGTAGGACAGGTGTTTTATGAGTTTTCCCCAGACAGCTCTGCCAGTTCCACTTAGGTCTTTACCTGGCAGCATGCAGGCAACCCCATGCCCAGGTCAGTCTTGAGCACAGACTGGTCAACTGTGGTAAATGGTGCAATGGATGTCAGGGGAAGTACATGCAATTATCTCCATTTATAGACGTGAAGAGATGGAGGCCGAGAGAAATTTCCCCCCAGGCAGTGATAAAAATCTGGCAAGGAAGAAACTCGTAAATGCCTGATTCACAGGCGTGGGGGTATATGAATTGTAGCCACGTGGGTAACTGAAAGCTGAGCCATAGTAAAAGGTAACAAGCCCAGTAATTTCCCAGGCCTGTGCTGCAGATTATGCAAATGGAAATTTCCAATGAATGTAGGAGTATTCAATAAATACAGCGCTCTTCCTCTGTACTTAGAGAGCAATATTGCTGCCTCTATGCAAAGGTTATAATTTAAAGAAGAAGCATCCTGTGAGCCTGCAGACTGTACCAGCTAGAAGGTAAAACCTGAATCAGTAGAGTTTTTCCCCCAACAAATTAGCTGAGGGGGCTTTTATTCTTATTGGACTTTGCTGCTTTTGAGCAACTTCATATTGAATTCAGGGAACAGGTAAGTTTGCTACTGAAATAGGTTTATTTAGGAAACTCTAAGATCTCAGGATTGTTAAATCTTTTTTTCAGAGCTAATTCCTAGACAAGATCATTGTTTTGAATCACTTCCTTTCCTCTTCTGGCTTGATGGATAGAGAGATTGCTCCCTACTGTCTTTCTCCTTGTTTTGCTCAGTTCCATGCCCTCTTTTGAAATATTGAAAGCATCTCTCTGGTCTTACCA